ATTATTTAGTGGGGAACAAATAAAAGTCAATAAGTGTAGGACTAAATCTGGTAAAAAGGTACACATGGCTCTTTGTATTGTTGTAAAATACATTCATGAAAAACAAGTAAATATATTTATGTATAAATATATACTATAAAATTAAAAGACATTTCTTTTAAATGTATAGCACAGTAATGAGGCAGCAGCATATGATAGATCGGACAGAACAAAAAGGCTATTAACAATCTAAAATGAAAGGCTCCAATACAGAGCGGCACAAAGCGTTTATGTGCATCCCGTGCACAGAATGATGCACTTGAGTCAACATGAAATCACAGCTCTCTGCGTAGAAAAGTTCAAAGCACAGAGATGAGATATTGATGTGTAGTGTATTAATCTGTGATAGTCTTTTCTTTTAACATTTTTACATTTCAGTTACTGTGCGCGTGTGAAGAACAATTTATAGTGCTCTGCTCTCTACTACAGTGTTGTGATCTAACAGACACCCGGCAGAAAGTAACATGATTCAGAAATAGTATTAAACTCCAGCTAGATAAAGTTATTTTATGCAGAACCATTTATCTTTATCTACAGATCAAATATAATAATAGGAACATTGAATGATCTTGGAGAGAGTTTCATCGTTTTGACTTTAATAACTGAACGCGACGCACAGTTTGAAAGCTGAATGGAGGATGACTGACAGCTTCAGCGGAGAGAAGAGTTTACGTCAATTTGAATTTAACAACTTAAATATTCATCCGTACCTCACATTAAACTATGGAACGATTTCAAAACAATTGGAATATAGTACACGGAAACTTTATGGTGCTTTATAATGTTTTTGTGCCTTTCGTGGGGCTTAACAATAACACAATAGTATATGCACAATATCGAATATGGATCTGACCAATACCCGATTCAGCAGAAAATGGCAGTATCGAAGCTGATACCGATACTGAGTATCGGATTGGTGCATCTCTGATAATAATAATCTTCTTGATATCATCAAAGACATCAGCCATTGGCAATATCTCTGACTATCGTTGATACACGATACTATTGTCTATTGGTACAACCCTAGTGCTGGCAGGTAATACTATGGAACACTGTTGTATTAAAACAGCATTTCTAGTGTCAGCAGAGTGTGAGAATGGCTAGTACATATGGTCAGGAACAGCTGGCTGCTCACAGCCCCAAGCATCTCTGATGCTTGCTGGAATTCTCTGTCACCTACCAGATTTAAAGATCGGCAGAACAGCATTTCAGCTGTGTGAACTGAACACAGACACTAAAAATACTCAGTGCTGTGGGAGAAAAACAGCTGAAAGAGGGGACCCTATGGGTTTAATAATAGTACAATGGAAATATACTGGAAATGTAATAGTACAATGTTTATATAAGTAAAATGTGTATAAACCAAACCGAATAGCACATCTGAAACAAAACTTCATATTTCAGTTAGAAATAAACAGCATGAAAGTCTATTTAAGAAAGCATAATATTGTTACAAAATGATTAATTAAAACTGGATGCCACTACAATATGCCAATTCCAAAAAATACAACATTCACCATTATACAAGAGTTAGTTCTGGTCATCACACTTGACTGGTTAGGGTTAGACTATAGGACGTCTGACTGCATTTATTATGCTGTTTGTCTGTATTCACGAAATTTCAGATCAAAGTACATGAGCGGTACAAAGTGGAAGCAAAGTGACTATATTTGACAATATTTGTTAGTGAAGAAGAAATACACAAACTAATTGTTTTTTTGTTCCAAATGGAAGATATTTGATATTAATTACTTGTCTATTCCAGTTAGGGATGTAACGGTATGAAAATGTCTTATCACGATTATAGTGACCAAAATGATCACATCGGTTATCAGTATTATCACGGTATTGTTAAAATGTGCTGGAGATGTTAAAAAAGTACCGACACATAAATCACTTCAAAGTTTTATATTTAAAAATCAACAAACAACAAATAAAATGAGTTTAAACTGAAGTACTACATTTACAACTAAAACTAAAAATAAAGCTAATTAGAAAAAAAACATAACAAAACTACAAAAACAACAAAACAAAAATAAACTAAAATGAAAACTGAAAATATAAAATAAAAGGCAATTCAAAATGTTAATAAATACAATAAGGATATGTAGGGCTGGACAATAATTCAATATCAATATGTATTGCGATATAATTTTTTTCAATAACGGTGATATGATTTTTAAACACATTTCTGATATGCATTACCAGTTTCCCATACATTGATTTATTTGTGCCGTTTAACTTCGTTGAATAAACATGAGCACTGCACGTTTCAAAATCATAACACGGCGGGTGTTTTATATGAATGTATCTCTGAAGGGAACCGACTGTCTTCAGAATAGTTTAGATGGCATTTTGATCTGATAAAGTAGCGTTCATGAGCGGAGCTGCTTTGTTTACAGCCATTACTGCGGAAACCACTAGTTTCATCACTCTAAAAGCACCTCCTGCTGGCAGAGAATGAGTTTGCATTTTCAATAAGCCCGTCTCCAGCAACATTTCCAGTTTTTGTTGTTGTTCAATTTTTTTTGTTTTCTGCAGCGACTCGGAGCACTTTTCATACCCTTTTTTTCTGGCTGAAGCACATTTGTTTCAATCTATAAGAATAATCAGCCTACACTACCAGTCAAACATTTTTGAACAGTAAGATTTTTAATGTTTTTTTTTTTTAAGAATTCTCTTCTGCTCACCAAGCCTGCATTTATTTGATCCAAAGTACAGCAAAAACAGTAAAATGTTGAAATATTTTTACTATTTAAAATTGCTTTCTATTTGAATAGATTTTAAAATGTAATTTATTCCTGTGATCATACATAGGTACATTTTCAGCATCATTACTCCAGTCTTCAGTGTCACATGATCCTTCAGAAATCATTTTAATATGCTGATTTGCTGATTATCAATATTTAAAACAGTTGAGTACATTTTTTTTTCAGGATTCTTTGATGAACAGAAAGATCCAAAGATCAGCATTTATCTGAAATAAAAAGCTTTTGTAACATTATACACTATTCCATTCAGTATAATTTTTATTAACATTTTGGGAAAGAAATTATAGAAATTAATACTTTTATTTAGCAAGGATGCTTAAAATTGATCAAAAGTGATGATAAAGGCATTTATAATGTTACAAAAGATTTCTATTTCAGATTATAGAAATTATATCGTATCGACCGAAATTAAGAAATATATATCGTGATATCAATTTTGGCCATATCGTCTAGCTCTAAGGATATGTAAATATTACTAAAATAGCACTGCTTTATTAAACTGCTGAATAGAAGCTAAAAATGCTGTTGAATACCTGTGACTGAGTAAGTGTGACTCTGAATTGTTTGGCAATCATTTTGATTTCAGTTAGAACTTGTCAGATGTTAACATATGAAGAAGATGATGGCAGAGATGTATAGACATTCATGAAAGTTACAATGTGACAAATATAAAACCTGCACTTGACAATCTCTAATGGCTGGAGAGCCATGACTCTGAAGATGGTGCTACCATGACCTACAAACCCTGAGCTAACCCAGATAACACAAATCAGGCCCTTTCCCCATGTGACTGCTCAGGACATCTCTGCTAGCAGCTATGCCTACGAGGCCCAACAAACTGACAAGAACAGTTTCACATCAATTAGAGCCAGACATTGTCAAAGCAGAACTAAACAACTATCCCATTACGATAACATTAGCTATGTCTCCTACACATACACAAGATGCTAAATGCATGGAAGAGCTCCCGATAATGGACACAAACATCTGCATGCAAGGCTGGAGAATCAAAACATTCATATTTAATAACGATTCATGATTCGATATGGTTTAACTTTTAGAATTCATTTGTTTGTGGCATGTTGTTCAGTGTGAGTCTGATGATTAGGTGGCAAGTGAACATCTGAAACATGGAATGCGGAGCAGATAAACAAGACCAACCCTTTTTCTGAGAAAACCTGGATGGTATGAGTGTGGGAGAGTACAAGCTGACTTGCTCTGAATAATGAAAAGTGCCCATTAAGTTTGAGCTGGGAGTCATCCTGAAAGTATGTCACTGAACAAGTCTGTACAGGGGTGGTGAAAACTCCTCAGCCTCCTAAGGGAAGACGTCCTGCCCCAGGCCTTCCAGCTCCTTTTCCTCATTCACAAAAGCTAAACTGCCACTCTCAGCTCTAGTAGGCTTTAAAAATATGACCGCTACACCCATTAATACAGGTAACATAACACTTCAAGTAATAGTTTACCCAAAAACAGTAGTGTTGCAATGTATAAAACACAGCTCATACAAAATAAAAATGTAAACTAAGAAGCTGTCTGTTTGTCATGTGGAGATATTTTTCTTTTATGTCCCACAGAAGTACGTATGTCGGTCATACAGGTTTGGAGACACATGAGGATGACAATTTTCATCTTTGAGTACACTATTCCATTAAGAACAAGTTATTGCAGCTGTTAAAGGTATGGCTGTCAAAACAACCTGCACACACAAAACTGGTCAAATTGTTTTTGTGTCGCACAAAGTCAGTCATACTGGTTTGGTAAAAACATCAGGGTGAACAAATTAATATGATGGTGAAATATATTTGCTGATACATTCAGATATTTAAACATGCTAATCAGAAAGGGAACACAACTAGCGAGACTCTCCGCTCACAACACTCTTGAAGGGATATTTGACCCAAAACTGAACATTAAGTCATCACTTACTCGCCCTCATGCTGTTCCCAGCCTTTATAACTTTCTTATGTGAAGTATAAATGAAGATGTTGGTCAAAATGTTAGCAACTCGCAGTCTCGGTCTCCATTACTTGCATTGCATCTCCTCCCACAGAATGAACGTGAATGGTGACTGTCGCTGTCATTCTGCCTAATATCTTTTTCCAGTGAACTCTCAGGTTAATCAGAAAGAAACGGCTTCGTTTACTTTTTATCGTTTTAAAAGAACGGATATAGTGTGTCACAAAAACAGTGTGCCTTTACAGTGGGGTGTGAAAGTGAGCGCTAGTAGGAAGGATCAATACAAGAAGCGACCCATACGGGCGCCATATTGACCAAAACAAAATGGCAGAACAAGAGAATAGTTGACAAAGTCTGCTGGCTTTCATTGACAGATGCCTTCTCGTGACACGATTAATCCGCAACAACGACTATTAGATCGGCTCCTGTGCTCGAGGGTAAGACAATCTGACTCGATCGTACCGAGTGTCGCGTAATATCGTTAATACAGCGATGTCATATTAGCTTAGCTTAGCTCAGCCCATCCACACTACGAGCGACGCAACGCACTAGATCGCTGTATTAAAATGTAAGCATACTAAATGTCATGTCACGCATACTTGGAGTGCAGACAGATTCGTTTATTATAATGGAAGTGTGTAAGTTTAGCATAAATGGGGCGGACAGGAAGCTCGCGAGCTCTGTAGTAAATTGCTTAGTAAATCAACGTTAAGTCTTCGATTAAAGCAGCCGATCTGATGGCGATCAATGTCCCGACTTGGGGTTTCTAACTAGTGTGTCAGCAAATCCTCGGGTCTGTACCTGGAGCTCGGCCCTCTCCACATCCCAGTGCGCCCTTTCCATCTCGAAACGGGCCCATTCGTGCTGGATGTAGTGTAAAATCCCCGGGATAGTGTACTGCTGGGGCCTGGGCATCTCGTCTTGCTGTTGCTGAACCATAGGCGCTCCTCCAGAGCTGGCGATCTGGGGATTAATGCTGTTGTTGCCCTGCTGCGGTGCGGGCTGCTGCTGCTGCTGTCTCTGGGCGGCCATTCCTCCTCCTCCTCCGCCGGGCTGTTCATCCATGTTTAAAAATAGTAAAGTCCTGCTAGAAGTCGCCGATTGTTTCCCCTCAGCCCTCCCTTCTTTACCGTTCGTGTAGCGATGCGACGTCGCCCTGCCCCCCCACGAAATAGGCTGGCACCCGAGCGGCTGTAGTGGATTTCGTGTCAGCGCACGGATTTGCCGGCCGCCATTAGTCCAATCCCTGGATGTGAGTGTCCTACTGCGGGGGTGTGTATGTGAGTGAGGACTGGCGCGCGCGCTGCATGATGGGACGCGTTCACCCAACCCTGCGCTGTCTCAAGTCATCCGAATACAGACTGCCGGGCGGACACTGCGCATGCGTGGACGACCAGATCAATGACGAGCTCTGTACCTGACGATATTAAAATATGGCCTTGAAAATTAGATATACATATATAACGTAGTGCGGACGTAAGTCAAATATCAAATAGCTTCAACTGATATAGTGAGATTTTTTTTCTTTTCTTTTCAAAATGTAAAGGTGTGCTCTGTTTTGTTTATTTCAAATATTTGTTCCTACAAAAATTAACAGCACGTTTGAAAAAAATATTCCAATGATGTACACAAAGGTGAAAAAAAAATCTACCGTTAAACATTTTACAGTATTAACAATAATTGTGGTAACTGATATTTTGGTGAAAACTATTGGTTATGTATGTATTTTATTGATCAGTTTACAAATAACAACTGTGATCATTTGATTTACTATTGGCGTAATTTCTATTTTTTTTTATATATAAAAATGTGGCATTGACAATAGCAATATATATATAGTAGGGCAGATTAAAAAATTTTTTTTTTAAAGGTACACTTGTCTTTTGCTCATTTCAAATATTTCACACTCTTTAAAAATAAAAATAATTAAAGTATTTAACAACCACTGTGAGAAATATTCAAATGAAAATGAAAAAAAAGCTGTATTTTTCTACATGGAGCAGGTCGCCCCCTCATGACCAGCTCTGTCAAACAATTCACTTAGCAGTAATAATTTTACTGTAGTAAGAATAATTGTGGTAACTGTGGTATTTTGGTGAAAATTGTTATTTACCAAAAATTATTTTATTAATCAGTTTACAAATAACTGCGCTATTTTTTTTATACCCTTCCAGTTGTTTGCTGACATAATGACGTAATTTCTCCTTCTCTCTAGCAGTGGCCACTCTTCTGAATGACTATGATCAAGTTCCTACTTATGGTCAACAAACAGGGGCAGACTCGCCTATCCAAGTATTATGAACAAGTGGAGCTGGGGAAGAGAGCAGCTCTGGAAGCTGATGTGGTCAGGGGATGCCTCGCGCGGAGGAAGGAAGAGGTCAGTCACGTTTCACATTTACTTTCAAATGAATGGTTAACCACACTACTTGTATCACTAGCCATTGTTTACCGTGCAAAATATTATGAATATAGACAACTAAACAGACATGCAAATATTACTGACCCTCAGGGGAGATATATTGATAAACAACAGAAACATCAAGCAGTGTACACATTATGCAAGCATTACTGTATGAGAAATGTATATCTACACATATAATTGACATATGCAAGTAGTCACCCACCTTGTAGACTTCAAGTCTGTGGTTGAGTTTTATTTAAAAAAATTAAAATCTTCAAACTTGACTGTTGAGAAATAAAATCTGCTGCTGAACTCCAGATGTCTTAGTCTTTTCTTTTTCTTCTTCCTCAGTGTTCATTTGTGGAGTATAAGGACTACAAATTGGTCTATCGACAGTACGCAGCACTTTTTGTTGTTGTTGGCATCACTGAAAATGAGGTTCGCTATATTATTGGGGAAATGTTCTAATTACTGGCATAATCATTGGGAATCAGTATTTTTTTTAAAATCTGATTTATGGTCTCTGCCCTCTTTCACACAGAATGAACTCTCAATCTATGAACTTGTGCACAACTTCGTCGAGGTGTTAGACAAGTATTTCAGTCGTGTGGTGAGTACTGATTCCTTTTGATTAAGGATGGAATATTACAACTTTGAGTAAAGACATAAATGAAATGTCTTATGTTCACTTACGATTGATTTATCGGTTTTCCTTTTTTCTCTCTCAGAGTGAGTTGGATGTATCCTTTTGTAAATGAAATTACACATTAAGTATTATTGACCAATCTTGGCTATGATTATTTCTTCAGTGATACATGTGTATTTATAGGAGGGTTTCATTCCTTAATGCACGATCAGATCATGTTCAATTTAGATAAAGTGCACATTATACTTGATGAAATGATCCTGAATGGACACATTGTGGAGACAAACAAGAACCGGATACTGGCACCACTACTGGCCCTGGACAAGATGGCTGAAAGCTGATCCAATCTTATAAATAAAGGGTTCTCACTAGTCTAAACTTAGGGTTCATCTTCCATTAAATTGTTTATAAATTTTTTTGATGTGATCGGTAATAATCCCAATGCATTGTCAAAGATGTCTAAAAGTTCCTCTTAATAAAGGAACTACAGACAACAAAATGTGAATCACATTCAGGAACAGAAATATTTGTGTCAGTTCATCATCAGCTGGGAAAAAGCAAACAAGACAGTATTGATACTTTGCAAACATTTTAATGATTATTTTTGGAGCATACACATTTGAAAATATTTGTTTAATTCAAACTGCAACTTGAGTTAAATAAATGTTTATAATATACAAAGAAAATACAAGGGAAAGCACGCTTGCTTTTTGCTTTGTCTTTTTTCTTTTCTTTTCTTTTTTTTTAAATGTGCCTTGCACACAGAACCAGTGTTTCTGTATCTATAGCTTTATTGTAAAATTACACAAATGCACTCAGGGTCTTTGATCCTTTAGCAGGGCAATGAACAGTTGAAAACATACTCACACAGTAACGGAAGCAAAAAAGGAAAAGCATGTGCATGATTGAATGTAGACAGATTAAGTAAAACAAAAGAAAGAAAAAAATCCTAATATTTCAACAATGCAGGCACTACTAAAACTTAAAACCTGTTAAGGAAATGCCCAAACACTCTATAGTTAGCTCTACAGAAGCAGGTGTGCTTGTGTCCAGGGTCTGACGCTGCAGATGGTGATATCTGGGTCTGAAAAAGATGATCCATGACAAAATGTACAATGAACCTGGTGTAATGACAGTAAACACAGTAGGTGAGGAGAGACTACCCTGGCTGCCAGCGGCTCAAGCCCTTAAAGCGGTAGAGTGACCTGGGAAAGGCCTTGTGAAGCCGTCAGTGGAGGAGGAGACCCTAATGGGTTTCAGGAGCTAGTGGAGCTGTGGTGGGACTGTTTTCCTGTTTATTTGGGTACATGTGAGGTGCTTAGGGAAAAAGGATTTCATCAGCGCACAGGTTTATTTTCTGCAACAAAACACGACAGGCTTCACCAGCATGGGAGTTGGGGTCAATGATGTAGGGAGAGCATGCTCAGTTGAGGTGGAAGCCCTTCTCCATAGTGGCAGCGAGGAGGCGCTCTCTCATGATCTCTTCGGAGGAATATTCCGGCAACTTCAAGTAGTGCACACACGTGTTGACTGAAGGATAGCTGGCATCTGTAGCATCAACCTAGAGGAGAAAAGACAAAAGCAGGTATGAAGGGAGACTCTTAGTTGTTATCTTAATTGGCTGTGTTTTAGCATGATAGATTTTATTAAATTGCATGCTTGCATACCTTCCGGACTATTGTGAGACGTGGATGGAGGTTGGCCAGTCCACCAGGGGGCAGGGTCGAGCAGCCTGTAGTGAATTGGAGGAAGGCTTTCCTCTCATCAGATGACATTCCACACAGCACTCGAATAAAGCGCAAGAAACCAGGACTGCAATACAATTTAATCATCAGCATGATATATACTGTATGAAATGTGGCCAAGCAAGTTATTTAATATATTTGACAATTTAGGAAAGCTGAACATGAAACCTTTATTTCAAAGAGGTTTACATGTACCATATTATTCAGCCATTATATGTATATTAATACACTACTACTACAATATTGCATTAGATAATGACTATAGTACCAATATATTTACATGCATGTTATAAATTTCGCTCCATATCTTAAACAGTTTTTTTTTTTTTTACATTTAAAAAAGGGGGGGGAAAAAACACGAAATATTATAAAATGGAGAAATAACAGTAGTGTCTACCTGTCCCGCGTGTAGCCAAGTTTAGGTTCTGTGTAGTTAACAATGTCTTCAGCGGTCCAGGATGGAGACTGGTTGCCACACAAGATCATCTGCACCTCTTTATGACTAAATGAGCTGAGCTTCTCCATAGGAAACACCCTGTTAAAGCCCTCTGTAGCAAATCAAATACAGACTGCCATTAGAACAAAAGATCAAACATATTGCATTTTTTGTGTGTATGTGTTTTTTATACATTTCACATTTAGCAACATATTTGTAACTAAAGAATAATGTTGTAAAAAAAGCTCATTCATAATAAATTGATATCTGAAATGTCTCTCTCTTGAACAGCCAGATTACATGTTCTTTAACTGTGTAGCTCCAGCGTATTGAAAGTACAGGGCATGAGCGTATTTGAGGCCTGCCAATCCTGTCATACCTCTAAAGGCTTCCATTTGCTTCTGGATTCCTGTGTGCATGCAGAAGTCAAACATGAGCTCTACGTACTCCTCTGCGTTTTCCATGGTGACCATCTGATGAGAGGACAGCAGAATTATTAGCATTCATATCTTATTCCGTAAAAGATGACACCAAAAACAGTGAATTACATAATTACAGATACTAAGCAAGCAGTGTGTTTAAAATAGACACATACACCACCGTTCCGAAGTTTGGGGTCGGTAAGATCTTATTCTCATAGAGCTGCATTTATTTGATCAAAAATAGAGTTAAAAAAAACATTGTGAAATATTACTATTTAAAATAACGTTTTATTCTATTAATATATTTTAAATTGTAATTTATTCCTGTGATGGTAAAGCTGAATTTTCAGCAGCCATTACTCCAAACTTCAGAGTCACGTGACTTTTCAGAAAACATTCTGATATGCTGATTTGGTGCTCAGGAAAAAATGATTATGATCAATGTTGAAAACAGTTGTGCTGCTTAATATTTCTGGATATAGCGATATTTTTTTTTGTGAAAAAAATATTACTTGGAAAAAACTGATTTTCATGAATCTATACATGGATTTTTACATAATGCACAAGTCTTTACTGTCACTTTTGATTAATTTATTGCATCCTTGCTATAAATAAATAAATAGAAGAAATTATCTTACTGACCCACAACTTTTGAACAGTAGTTTAATTTGATCAAGATGACAAGAAGCAGAGGTTCTAAGGGTGATAGCACTGCTATACCAATACAGGTATAATTAATGTATTGGCATAACTACAAATACGCAAAATAATCAAACCCACAAAAAATGATTTCAGTTTCATAGAGAGGTAGACTGTTTTGAATGGCTGGATCATCGGGATTTTGTACAACAGTACACACAGGACACTAGATGGTGTGTCAGGACAACATGGGACTTACCTCATCCTCTCCATTGGGTTTCAAGTCTACGGATGAGAAACCGTGTACTTTGGATGATGGACAGAACTGGAAATTTAATCTAATAACAAAAATAAAACATTAAATGAGTAACGTCAGTAAATAAAATACCCTGCACAAAGCAAGGAAGTAACATGAAACAAACTAATTTTAGGTTATGCTTTTAAACGTGTCCTTGTTACAGTATAATTACACAATTAAGTACTGAGTAATATTAACATGCATTTACTGTATGGTTAAGGTTCGGTTTAGGTTATATGCTTGTAATTATGTATAATTACCTGTTATTACAATATTAAATGTATAACACAAGGAGACTGCATAACATATTACAAGGAGACTGTAAATTACTTTTGTATATTAATCAAAGAAAATTAGGTAAAGTGATATTTATCTCTCACCCTAGATCTTCTACACTAAGGGGTGGGCCAGAGCCCATAGGGTTCTTCAGCATGAGATCCTGTAGCCGTGTGTTCTTCTCATCCTCTGACAGACTCTTATTGCCCAGGATCTGCCTGCGCTTCCCAGACAGTGCCTTCAGCTCTTTCAGGAACTGTGCTCTGTGAGGATTCACCAGTTCAAAGTCCTCCCAGGTCAAGATGCCATGATACCAAGCTGGTGGCTTGGGCTTGGGTGGGTCAAGGATGAACTCGGACTTGGAGTCTTCATCAAAGCTACCCACTGAGTATGTGTCCTGACCCTCCTCGGTGGAGGCTTCGGACTGGATTTCAGAGAAGTGGCAATCCGACTCGACACGAGTTTGATAAAGTAGCTTACTCATGTTGCTTTTGATGTCGCCCATACAGAGCAGTTTGAAGAAAGGCTGGGATATGGGCAGGTCCACAAGCCGGTTGTCCTGGATGCATTTGGCCAAAAAGACACCAAGGAACAGGAAAAGCTTGGTGATGCGCTCCAGTTCATCACTGTCCTGAGGGAAGGGAGCAGGGAAAAGGCCGCAGGAACGCTGCACATAATAGCCTGGTGGTTTCAAGCCTCCGCCCAGATCCACCTGATAAAAAAATGGAAAAAGTTAATTAAACCTCTGGGGTCTGAAGGGGTTTTGGGGCCCTGGAAAAGTTGACATGCCCTGACATGTGCTTTTTTTCCCTCAGTATCTTAAAAACATGTGTCTAAAGAAAACAAATGGCTAAAGTCTGATTACACTGTATTCAGCACAAACTGTGCTACAATAATAGGCAACATGAATGTACATGTTTGTGTTTTTGAGTAGGGCTGGGTATCATTCAAAAAAGTTCGATATCGATACCGGTTCCTGAACGATACTTTATTTGACACCAATTTTATGAAATCCATTTTAACAAGATTACATTACCTCAAAATACTTGCATTACACATTACCTCATAAAACTTTTTTTTTTTTAGTTTGTTGAGGTTTTTAGACTCAAAGACTCTCGTGAGCCACTGCACAAAGGAACAAAATGTAACCGACACAAATCAGTGCAAATAGTTTTAATAAAGATCAAATAGTTTTCAGTGCTGTGAGGCTCACTGCTGCATATTTAAGATCTTTAAATCACTCAGCAGTTCTTTAATAGGCAACATGAATGTACATGTTTGTGTTTTTGAGTAGGGCTGGGTATCATTCAAAAAAGTTCGATATCGATACCGGTTCCTGAACGATACTTTATTTGACACCAATTTTATGAAATCCATTTTAACAAGATTACATTACCTCAAAATACTTGCATTACACATTACCTCAAAACTTTTTATTTTTTTAGTTTGTTGAGGTTTTTAGACTCAAAGACTCTCGTGAGCCACTGCACAAAGGAACAAAATGTAACCGACACAAATCAGTGCAAATAGTTTTAATAAAGATCAAATAGTTTTCAGTGCTGTGAGGCTCACTGCTGCATATTTAAGATCTTTAAATCACTCAGCAGTTCTTTTAAAAAAAAAAAAAAAAATATATATATATATATATATATATTTGGCA